ATAGCTAACAGCAAAGATGTAGAAAAAGAGTGTGAAATGTATAAAAAAACAATACTAGATTGGTCGTTTTTGATCATTCTTCGTCCGCCTGTCCTTCAGTGATTGGTCTGTGTGCTTTTTTGGCATGCGTGTCCTTTTTTCATTGGCAAAATATCTCACGGTAAAGATTAAGAAAAGAATGCGGAATACATAAAACACAATAGTAGTTTCATCGTTTCATACCATTTTTGTCTCCAATCCTGTGAATCCTTTGCCCTCTTTGACGATAGTAGTTGGTCAGGGATATAATCAAGTCGAGGCAGTTGTACGACAACACATAATTATTTCCTCTTCGTATGTTCGATTTCTTCATGAGGGAAAAATATAAAATTTAGCTTAAATCGAATTAAGAAACAATTTACAAAAAATTGTAGAAGATCGACCTGAATGAATCATGGTCAATGGCAGGGGCTCACAATGCCTTAAATTTTGAATATTCATATTATTTAATTTAAATTTAAAAAAATGGAAATATTGATTTTTGGATTAAAAAATGTCATTTTTTATATACACTATACTTGTTCAAATAATGTAGGGCTGAATTTTCTAATTTCTCTTTATAATTTAGTACGTTGAGACTTCAAATTTGTAAAAAAAAATTATTGTTTCATATTTTTCTATTCTATTTGATAAATAATTCCCAGCGGGGGCAACTTTCCGTAAATCGCGTGGTGCGCGCAGAGGCTTAATAATACAAATCAAGTTTGTCCCGCTCATTGCTCGCCGGCCCTGGTCTGAAATGCATTAAATCAACAGTGTCAAACCGCTCTTGTTTGTTTGTTATTCGACAGGGCCACCAAGTTTATTAATAATGCGTTAATGCCAACAAAACCCCCAACAAATAAAGAAATTAGAGTAAAAGCCTATTTTCAATCTGTTTCGAAGTTTAACCTCAATAAAATAACTTAATAAACGAGAAAAGTATTGCAAAACTTTTTTTTCTAAAACGACAAACAGATTTAAATAACAATGAAACTCATTTAAAACAACTAATATTAACTGCACAAATTTTTTTAAAGTAAAATTTAGTAGAAATCTTTCTAAACTATTCCAGAAATTAACTCACATAAGATTTATCTATAATGCTACTTCCTACTTCCTACCAATCAATTAAGCTTTTGTTCACTATTCTACCATTCATCATCCTCAAAGTGTTATAGAATAAATTAATGTTTCTCATGTCTTGGACAAAGCATGAAGGACTTTATACAAATTAAAATTATTTTTACCCCAGGACATCTTATCATTTCAAGATTTTTTTGAATAGGTTTTTCACTGTAAACCGGTTTCACAAGGGTCATTACTCGCACCACTGTTGTTGACATGTTTTTACCTAAGATGAGAATGCACTTAACGCCACTTATAAGGATGAAAACGCTATATTAATAAGTACACTAGCTTCCCTTATGTTGCCAAAAGACATGTCAACAACTAAAAAATTGTACTGTCTACGGAAAATAAAGTTGAACACCTCGTCAGTGGCATACATCACATTTACAGTCCTCCATGAGACTTGTCCTAGCATAAATTTATCCGATAAATTTTCCTATTTACAATTTATTTTAGGAAGAGAGTAACTAAAAAATCTATTCACAAAATAAAGATCCAAACTGCTGGATGTAACGTCCAAATCGTAGTAGTGTCACAGACGAGGGGAACACTTTACAATAATTTTTTTTTTCAAACCGTGACCGAGCTCTTTTCAGATTAGCCGAATAAGTGCAATAATTCAGAAACAACCAGTAAAACCGGTTTGGTTTATTAAGGAATTATTTAAGGATCGGGTGGTAGACTCACGAGTAATTTGAAAAATAAGCTGGAAGTCATGAAAAAGCTGGACAAGCTTGTCTAAGGAGCAAATGTTAATTCTTTTTTCAATATAAATGATAGAAGCAATTGTCCAAATTAGATAAATAGTTGTCAAAAGGCTAATAACTAATCTTGCCCTATTTTAGATTATGTTTGGTCTTCAGATCATGTTGGTCCGTCTGTCCTCGCTATTTTGGCCTGACAGACTCGTTTCGATATTTCAGTTGGTCTGAGTGCTTTCTTTGGCATGTGAATTCATTTATTTATTGACAAAATAGCTCACAGTAAAAATGAAGATGATAATAATAAGGATTATATTTTCAACAAAATAGCAATATAGGTGTTTTCGATTATTTGTTTTGTCCGTTATTCGTTGCTGTTTTGACCTGTTAGATGCGTTTCGGAATTTCGGTGGTCGGTCTGTGTACCTATTCGGCATGTGTGTTTACTTTTTATCGACAAAATAGATCTCAGTAAAGACGAAGAAAAAAAGTGAAATATATATTTTTTTAAATAATAGTAATTTTCCTGTTTCCGATCTTTTTGGTCCACCTATACTTGGTTTTTTGACTTTTCAGACGCGTTTAGGGTTTTTATTGGTTGGTATATGTACGTTTGTGGCATACGTGTTCGTTTTTTGATTGTTTTATTGTCAAAATAGCTCACAGTAAAGATGAAGAAACAATAAGAAATATATAAAAAGTTATAATAGGTTGACTGTTCTGATTATTTTTGTATCCAATCCTCTCCGACAGTGTTTGATCAGGGTTATAAGCAGGCTGATGCCCATACGACCGACTATTTTTGTTTTTCTAGCTGAAAGATTTTAATGAACGGTCGGTTTTTTTTTAATGTACATATTATTATATTTTTCTATTATTTTATTTATCGTAATCCTTTTAGACTGTTTATGTTTCAATTGTACCCTTTATAATTTATTTCTTAGTTATTTCTTTAAAACACTGTATTTCTAAAAAAAATGGTATACTATCTTTGCTATTAGTTAAGACATTTCTGATCATTTCAATCCATCTCCAGTTTGTAATAATAATTTTGGCAAGCATAGTAAAATTCAGCATTGAAGATGACCACAAGCTAAAAAGGGAAAGACCGAAGGACCGATATATCCTGCATATCACCTCGCAGAACTTACAATTTAATGGTTAAAGTAGGGATTCATCACTAAACAAAGCCACAACTGGCCAGAAATAGCATTTGACTTCACTGTATTCTCAATTAAAATTCCATGGGCTATGCCGGGATTCAAGTAAGTCAAATTGGCCGGGCAGCATGACTGCCTTTCAAATGTAATATTTTATTTAATAAACATTAATAATTTTCCTGTTTTTATCACCAAGCTAAATTGGCCGAATATTTTGTCAATTTTCAGCTGTAAATCCATTTAATTTTTACTAAATAAAGAAAAAATGATCATATTTGTTTTTACATAATTTACAAATCTTCATTCCCACAATTTGTTTGTAAAATGATTAATTCTATAATTAAGGTTTTGAATGTCTGATTATGGTGATATGATTAAAACGTAATTTTAATACAGCATTCGGGTTTTAGTTCAAAGCCAATTTCAACACGGGGGTCAAAAAATTTAAATATACATATTTTTTTAATATTTGCAAGGATATTATTATGTGTAATCGCTTTTTATCAAAAACAAAAAAAACACCGTGGTAATAACATTGATATATTCAGTCAAATTTTCGACTATTATCATAAAACAGATCAGGGGTACAGCAGCAAGGGGCAGTTGTCAAAACAATGCAATTAAATTAATTAAATTGATAAACGGGTTTTTTATGAAAAGATATATTTTTTCTTATGCGAAAGAAAAGTTTTAAAATACAAAAGTATGCGTTGTTTAAGAAAAAACCAAAATATTCCGTTATTTCATGAATTATTAATAAAACTATTACACGTTATAGGAATATTACAATTAATAATAAAAATTATATAATTGAAGATAAATAAAAAGTAGAAACATAGTTGATCAATGTTCAATCATGTCAAATCAATGAGACTATCATCAACATGTAACTGTTTTTACCTTTTCCTCGGGATGATCATGTAAAGTTTAATTTTTTAAAGTTCACTGAATATTTGCGATTTTTCAGTAATAAAATTGAACAAGTATTTACTATCAGTTGGAAAACCTAAGGGATATTTCCTTATTATTAGTTAAATACAGTTCGTCAGAGAGTTTATTGAGAAATCTCTCGAATAAAAAAGACACGGAATGAAGATTAAAATACTAAAAGTAATTAGGTTTTGATAAAGTGTAAATATACTGCTTGAAGAGGGAGAATTTGCGATATGGTCAATGGAAATAACAAAAAAGCTTATAAAATGAAATTACAGGAAAATAAGAATAAACAGATAAAAAACGAAAATTGAAAGAAAGTTAACTACCAAAAACCTAAACCTTTTTCAGTTTTGAGTACTAACAACTCTACAACAAACAAAGAAATATAAACAAACATACAGCAATTAACACCAAACGCTCCGACTCAAATACCTCTGTAAGGCTGGCCACACTATTAAGCTCTTCAAAAATGGAGACCTATGATCAAATTGGGCATTCTGGAGTGTAAAAAATACAAATCCAAGTAAAACCTTTCTCTGATAGCTTCCAAAAAATCTATACGTTTGGACTACCGTGTACAGAATACGAGATATCAAATTTTTTTGTGTATAAATTGTCAGGGATGGACCCTGAGGGCATATTGAAAAAAAGTGAGACTCTATGATCAATCTGGACTTTCAGGTGTTTAAAAAAAATAGAAATAAAACTTTTCTCTAATAGCTTCAAAAAAGTATGTACATATGGACTAGCGAGTACGGAATATGAGAAATCAAATTTAGTTGTGTACAAATTGTCAGGGATGGTTCCTGAGGGCATATAGACAAAAAAGTGGAACGCTATGATCAATTTGGCTTTCCGAAGTTTAAAAAAATAGAAACCAAAGAAAGCCGTTCTATAATAGCTTCAAAAAAGATGTACATTTGGAATACCATGTACGGAATACGAGAAATAAAGGTTTTTTTTGTATAAATTGTGATAGATGATGTCCACGTGGGAGGATGTCGGATGGCAATTTTATTAATATACCTAATTAGTTGATAGGTGAAAGGTTTACCTAGGAAATCAGGAGTAGGTGGGAAAACGTTGGCAGCGGCGGCGGCTGCTGCTGCCAGGTGCCCGAAATGTATCGGGTTCTGCCTCAGCTGCGGCTGCTGTTGTTGACTAGGCCTGTTAAGTATCGAGTCTATGGTGAAGAGGCCTCTCGGCTTCCCGGTAGGCGGATAGACGCCCATCTCCTCTTCTTCGCTGCCCGGGCCGTCAGCCCTCCTGAACCTTAGAGACGCCGTCCTGTATATCTCTCGTCCGCTTCGACGACGTGCTTTTCTACCCTCGGGAGCTTGGGGACTGTTCTCCTCGCTGCCACCCCACGTGTGCCGGAGGACTCGGTCTGCGGGAAGGGGCGAGTAGGAGGACTGACGCCGGATTGGCGATCCTGGGGGTGAGAGGCGTGGCAAGGGCGGGTCCGCCCTGTCCCGAGCCCCTTCCCAGCATTACCGGCTAACATCTTGCTCTAATTGCCGCCCCCTCTGCACCGACAGCACTAATTTGCCTTTTATGAGGAGACAATATTTGCCCTCTTACCTATTTGTTCAGGGGATCACTTTTTGCCAGCGGGCACCTGCCTTTGTTTGTCCAGTGTCACTAGGCCCGACAACAAATTGACCTCAGACTCATATTTCCTCGCTCCCATTTCACAAATGCATAATCGTATTAAATTACAGAAAGGAAATAATTTCTAAAAACCCAAACGACCATTTATTTTTTTGTCCTTCGCAAATAAAAACTCTTAACTGTGGGATTGACAAATTCTCCGAAACAACCACACTATAAACTGAACAGCAGATTTTATAAAAGTAATCAGACACATACACAATCAAGGCAAGGACAAAATCACAAATTTGCACAACTCGGAACAGGAAAATATCTCAAATAATGTTTAAAATCTAAAATAAATAAGCAATACAATAGTCTTCCTGACCATTCTGGTCCTCCTGTACTCGCCGTTTTCACGTGACATTTTGGCATTTCAGTGGTTGGTCTGTGTGCTTTTTTTGGCATGCATGTCCTTTTTACCATTGACAAAACAGCTAACATTAAAGATGTAGAAAGAGTGTAAAATATATGAAAAACAATAGTAGTTCGGTCATTTTTTATAATTTTGGTTAGTCTGTCCTTCAGGATTGGTCTGTGTGCTTTTTTCTTGACATGCATGTCCTTTTTTTCCATTGACAAAATAGCTAACAGCAAAGATATAGAAAAATTGTATAAAATTTATTAAAAAATTTATTAGAAAAGAGTGTAAAATGTATGAAGGAAACAATAGTAGTTTGGGAGTTTTTGATGATTTTGGTCCGCCTGACCTTCAGTGGTTAGTCTATGTACTTTTTTCTTGGCATGCATGTCCTTGTTTTCTTTCCATTGACAAAATAGCTAACCGTAAAGATATAGAAAAAAGCGTAAAATGTATTAAAAAATAGTAGTTTGGTCGTTTTTGCTAATTTTTCGTCCGCCTGCCCTTCAGTGATTGGTCTGTGTGCTTTTTTGGCACGCGTGTCCTTTTTTTCATTGGCAAAATATCTAACGGTAAAGATAGAGAAAAGAATGTGGAATACATAAAACACAGTAGTAATTTCATCGTTTCTGGTTATTTTTGTTCTTAGATCCTCTGAATTCCTTGACCTTTATGACGACAACATTTAGTCAGGGATGTAAACTGGGCGAAGCAACGAAACGACAACACTATTATTTCCTCTTTCAATGTACTCTTTGTTCATGCGACAAAACCACAAAATTTAGAATATATCGAATTAACATAGCCTTTTCGAAATCATACATGGGATTGAACTGGTTTACACCAATAAGCTGGTCTAGATTATCATAGATTATCACACTATTCACTTTTCAACGACAAAGCAATTATTTTCAACGTATCGTTCCTGCATTTATACTTTTTTCAAAAAAGAAAACACCCAGACAGCTTTGGATTTAAGAAAAAAGTATTTCAATGCAATGTTGCTAAAACTGTTAAAATAATTCATTACTGCGATCCATTTTTGGAAATTCAAAGTACTTTACAAAAATCACTTTTCCTTTCAAGTACACAAGTTGTATTCGTTCTTCATTCTTTAATGAAAGATCATCATCATTCATTAGTCCTTTTTATATAATTAACTAAATGCAGACCTAAAACGGTTTGTAGTTCGATACATTGAAGGTAGAAAAAGGCCAAAACGAGTGTGACAGACCAAAACAATAAGAGAAAACGGACCGAAATGCCAAAACCAACGTCCATCTTCCTTCATCATTGCTTGGTTTTTAGAATGGAAAGGACTAAACACGCCCATTTTCTAAACCAATAAAAAGAACATAACAGAATAACACACACACACACCAACCATCAAATAAGGAGACGAGGAACGGAAGCATGACTGACAGATCAAAACATTGAATATTGGGAAACCAAAGTATTTTTTGTTGTTCTTGTTGGTCACAACCGCACAACTGAAATAATATTTCTGAAAATTTCAAACATTCAAACAATATTTCTATGAATATATATCATGATCTTGAAGGATCATAATGCCTTTAAAAATGTCTTAACGGAAACTGTTGATATTTGTGGAGTTTCCTTTGTTCCTGGCCTTTCTACACTTCTCTTAATTTTTCCTTATCAATATGGGAATACAGTGGGTGTTTGTAAATTAAACCGTTAGGCTATAAATATTTCCCAATTATATGATTAAAACTCTGAAAATATTGGGAAAATTAAACCTTGATAAAAAAAAGAACGCTGTAAATGAAACCAATCGCAGAGGATAATGTTAAATTGGCATTGATTGTTTAAACGGGGATGATAAACATACCGTATTATTACAGCCGATTGGATAAATCAACGTTGGATTTCCTTGTTACTCGGTTAAATTTATAACTTCATTTTAAGAATATAAAACTGAACTTAGACCATGGAATAAACTTGATAATCGAATTTATAATTTGAGTGACCCTCTAAGAGTATTTGAAGATAGAAAGTTCAATTGTGCTATATAAAGATATTTTTTAGAGCCGTTGATGGCAGTTTTGGAACGAAATTAGATAGATAAAAAATTGTCATCCCCTACTTAAAACAGTTCAACTAAAAAATTTCTCTCTCTCTCTCTTTCCCTCCTTCTCTCTCTCTAACTCTCTCTTTCTCTCTCTCTCTCTTTCCCTCCTTCTCTCTCTCTCACTCTCTCTCCCTCCTTCTCTCTCTAACTCTCTCTTTCTCTCTCTCTCTCTCTTTCCCTCCTTCTCTCTCTCACTCTCTCTCTCCCTCCCTCTCTCTCTCTCTCTCTCTCTCTCTTTCTTTCTCTCTCTCTCTCTCTCTCTCTCTTTGTATTGATCTATCTCTATCCATCGATATATCTATCTACATTTTTTCTTTCTCTCCTCCTCCTCTCTATTTTTATGTCTTCCTACCTCTCTTTATCTATCTATCTTATTATTAAGCAAATACATAATTCTATGTAGAATATATAACTCTACTCTATCTACCTTTATCTCTATCCTTTGCCAGTAGAATCTACATTCAAAAAGGAACAGCAAATTTCAGAAAACGTACTCCATTTAATTTCTTTAACTCCGAAACTAGTTACTACACTAATGTTAATGTATGATTTTTGAAAAGTCCTAATTAACTATGTAGTTTAGTAACTAGTTTCGGAGTTAAAGAAATTAAATGGAGTACGTTTTCTGAAATTTGCTGGTCTCTAGGTTTGGAAATAGTAGTTTAGTAATAAGTTTTTCAACATTGGAAAACAAATGATTTTTCAAAGTTCTGGCTACTGAAACGCTTATTTCACCAACGTTTACAAGTTTAGGATTTGACCATATCTTATTGGAAATTGAACGCTGTTTTCAATGGTATCAACAGATTTGTCCAAAACCTTTTAGTTTTGGAGTTATCACTGTTTATTTGAAGCAAGATCGTGAATTCTTAAAAAATCAGAAAATCTGGACTAACTTCGAACCATAGTTAATTAAGACTCATTGGTTCCATTTTGAATGAAGAATCTACTGGCAAAGTTTGCAACATGAGTAGCCAAACACCTATCTATCTCTCTCTTCTCCTCCTCCTCTCTCTACCTTTACATCTTTCTACTTCCTTTTACCTTTTAACTGCCTCTATAGCTCTATTATTAAACAAATACAATAAATAAATAAATACTATTTTATCTACCGCTATATATAAGNAGAAAGAATGTTGTTTTTTATTGCACATAGATATATAGATATAATGGCAGATAGATATAATTCTGAGAGAAATGAGATTGTTTTCGCAAAGGGAAAAGACAATATTTAGAAAATGTGCAATTGCAATATTTGAACTTGTGATAGTTTTGGCTAATATTTATCCAATCCCTTCTTTTTTTATTAATAAAGGAGAACGTAAATAAATTTAATGTCAAATTTAAATTTAAAATCGGCTGTTATTGTTTGTATCGCTGTGTACACTTTAGGAGATGTAAAATTTATAAATAAAAAATATGTAAATGGCAAAACACTGTTTAAATTCTTTAGTACAGAAAGTGCCAAATGTTTTAGGGTTTCAAAACAAAAATAATGAAAATTGAGTTAATTAAGGTTGTTTTCTTTGAGGGAAAAGGAGCGAGGTGGTGCGGAAACGAAAGGGTTTCCATGCCGTGGAAAATTCCACTACGAAAAAAAGGTAGGCGGGAATGTTGTGACTCCGGGCCTAGAAACTTCCCATTCATTCGTCGAATCGATCTAATTACTCTTAATAAAGTTAAAGGTATATTGAATTTAATGAGAGCGGATCGGGTGGGCGCGAATGACGCAACGGGGCCTAACTCCAAGATCTCGAACGTTCCGATTCACCAGCGTAAGATTAAAAGTTTAAGACTGGGGAAGAAAATGAAAACGGGGACATGCTAATTCTTATTTTCAACTTTGCGGTTTTTAAAAAAGTTTACGACTCCGGAGGGGTGGTGGATCCCCGGGGGCTTAGCAGTTTGGACTCCATTAGTCCATCTCTTAAAAGACTTTCGGAAAAAGCTTCCGCTTAATCTTGGCCTGTGAGACTTATCGCGAGGTGTTGAGTGTTTGAGAAAGGAGGGAGGATTAGGAGGGTCCCGGGGGAGAGCCGCCCCTAGACGCCCTTAAACTCTCACAACCTCCCTTATCCAATATTTCCATTTTAACTCACCACCAGACCTATTTTTCTATTATTAGTCCTACGGCGTAATTTTATGCTGGACCGTTTATTCTTCTTCTCAATAGTGTGAAATTTCATGTTTCATGGATTAGGATGGACCAGTAGTTTGGTCGGTTTCGATCATCCTAGTCGGCCTGTCTTCGCCTGTTCTGGTCTATCAGACGTGTTCCTGCTTTTCGCCATTTCCAGCGGTTGGTTTGTGCCCCTGACTCTAACTGCTTATATCCTTGAAGAAAAGT